AATGGATAAACCTTAAACAAGCTCAATGTAAGCCATAGGAGCATTATCACCTCTCCTTGGAAGAGTTCTGATAATCCTCGTATACCCACCATTTCTCTCACNATATCTATCAGGAACTTCCGCAAACAAAGCATGAACAATCTGCTTCTCGTAGATGTATCCAAGAGCTTGCCTTCTCTTATGCAGAGAACCATCTTTAGCAAGAGTAATCATCTTATCCACAAACTTCCTCATCGCACTGGCCCTAGCTCTCGTCGTCTTGATTCGACCGTGTTTCAGAAGCTGAGTCGTGAGTCCACGGAGAAGAGCTTTACGCTGATCTGGTGGTCTGTTCAGCTTCGGGACTCGTCTCCCGTGTCTCATAGCGTAAACACGACCTCCACCTTCAACGATTGTGAACCCATTCTCGAAGCTCTTCCAATCTGCGTTTTGGGAAAAAAACCCTAACGATTTTGGAGAGAAATGAATCGAGCCAAAATTGATGAGGGAAAGGGGAAATTACCTGGGAGACCGATCGAGATGAGGGGATTAACCGGAGAGAGACCGGAGAAAGATGGGAGAAGAAGCGGTGAAGGAGAAGAGACTGGGAGACGAAGATTGACGGGACGGTGAGAAGAGGAGGAAGGTAGTCGGAGAGATGCGGTGGTGGAAGGAAGAGCTGATTTGAGAGAAGACATGCTCCAAACTCTGCTCAGGGAATCTGTAGGTGTCGCCATTGCCACTGGCATCGCCATTACACAGTGTGATTCTTCTCTCTGCAACAAAGGAAGGAGGGAAGGAAGATTGGAGAGAGTGGAGCGGATAAGGGAGAGAGGAAGACGACTGTGTTTATCAGAAACCTTATTATGGGCCTTTATTGGGCCCAAATAACAGTAACTCTCACACAATGTTTGAACCCAATAAGTTGGGACTTGAGATCTTCTTTGGGCTATGTAATGTAAGAATTATTGGCTCATACACAGTGTCAGTAACATTGTGTGCTTTCTTTCTTTTTTTCACATTAAAAAACATTGTGTACTCACCTAGTGGCAATGGCATTTGGATAGTTCACCAAAAATTGGTAGTACGTCGTCGGAAATCAATTCTCTTCTCCTATAATGGAGTTAATTGGACAAGATTGGGATAGGGTATTTGCAATGATCGGTATATGTATTCGATCTATATTCGAATTGATTTCATGAACGGTTAAAAACTAAATTGTTGGGCCTGAACCTGCGGCCCAAACGGTCTACGACTCAAAGGTCAGCGGCCCGTGAACAGTGGAAGCTCAACTCAAACAGTAACTACGGTCTGGTTAAACATGGGTCAGGTTCGGTAACTACAGTTAATAAAACCTAGGATGTACCCTCAACCTTGTATTATAAATATGAGTACAATGTGATGTGATCATTCATCTTCCATTCATCTGAAAAGAGCACAAGGGACCCAGAGTATTACCGTTCAGGTCTCTAACTCCGACAGAGAGCTCGCTGGGAGGTCATCACCGACCGGAAACCACCGAGAACATTTACATACCTTTATTAGCTCGCAATGAACTGAGTAGCCCGAGATTTGTCCGGCCTACTACACTCTTTCCGATCTATAGCAATCTGATAGCTCGGGATCTGTCCGAACTATCAGTTGCGGTCTACTTTGTAACATTTATTTTGGACTCAAAGTCTAATACACGAAATTCTCCGACCTCCTATCTACTAAAAATTCATTGTTGAGTCCTTCTAATTTAAACATAAATGTTTTTTTTTGGTTTATAAAATGGAACCCACAATGTATTCATACCTAGCTTAACATATGTAAAAGTATGTTGAAAAATACATTTTAACATATATTTTGTGTATTATTATATAATATAACATATGAAAATAGGAATTCTGTGAAGATTTCTAACGAGAAATATCATGAAATACAAGTAACTATACCATTTAATCTCAAAGGGTAAAAATGACATTTCGAATATGAACTAGAAGAAAAAGACACTCAGCTTTTTACGGTGAGATCTTTTTCATATATTGAGCCGTGTGTTTGTGTTTGTATAGAAGTTAATAATAATGAAATCATTTTTAAAATGAAAAAGGTAAAAAACTGATCGTAAAAAGCGTGGCTGGTTTGGATTCTCTACGGGTTCAATGCCATGCCCCAAGGCCATGCTATATTGCTATTATTATATGGCAATGGGAGCTAGTGTTTGACGTACAAAAGTCTAAAAAATTGTCAGTCAAACAGGTCCAAAACTTGGTAATAAAAACAATATACTAATAATGAAAAAGTTTTGAAATTAAAATAAAATTGTTAAAAAAGGACAAAAGGGTAAAGAGGAGGATGCAGATGAAAGCAAAATGTCAAACACTAGTTTCAGATTTGTATCGGGAACTGTGGTTTTGACAGTTGATGTAATGGACTCATCAAAACATGTGCAATCTCTTTACTTTCTTTCTCTCCCTTTGTATTTACTGTTTTTAGCTCTTCGTCTTGTCCAATTGCTCACATGTAAATGCCTTTGGATATTTTAACAGTGACTACTAGGCTTTTGTTTTACTACCAACTACCAAGATGGTTTATTCGAATACTTTAGTGACATTAAATTACAAAACCATTAATACATAACATATGGACCCAACATATGTTTTTGTTGTTAACGTTTTCTGTAAACTTGACCAAATAAAGAAATTTTCCGTAACAAACATTGTGGGCACCAAATTCTCATTATAAGGTTGAAAAAAAAAGTTTATCATAGTTGACTGAAATCAATTGATAAAAAATTTGAACTTAATAGCGCAAAATAAACATAAAGCATATATTATTACAGTTTTTGGAATTAGACAATTGATTTGTCCAAGGTTGTTCGTCTAAAAACTCCATCCATCCTTTTAGATCATACTATCTGATCCTACCTGTACCCAATCCAAACTTAATTTTACGAATAAAAGTAATCGAAATTACATGCTTGAATGAAAATAAATCATTCTAACTTGTAAAAAGTACAAGTTTTTTTTTCCCAGCTATTGTATCCTGCCATGTTCGAAACGTCCGGTAGGTCACATGACTCACTGGCATCCCTAAATATGATCCTACTTGGTCTTATGTCTACGTGTTTGTGGTCTAATTGACAACAACAACAGAAGAAAACCATCTCTAGCCAACAGTAGTTTTACAATTTCCAATTGGAGAATTTACTAAATTACAAAAAAAAAGTGAATTTAGTAAGTGTAACAAAAAAAAAAAGGTGAATTTCGCAAAAATACTATATTTTACTGAATTAAAATAAGAAAATGTGAAAACACAAAACAATTGTGCTATTCCGTCATTTTGTGGATTATTAGTAAACTTTTATATATTGCACCGGTTCCACCTTCCACGAAAATGAGCTAAATTATTATATACCAATCAAAATATTATCTTCTTGTGGGAGGTTACTTCGAGAGAGAGAAGAAGAAAGTTGTGGAAGTAAAGAAACAAAGATGGATCGGCAAAGAGAAGATGTCAAACACACAACGACGAACTTCTCCGATCTCCCACCTAATCTCTTCCCATTTTTATTTTATTTCCTAAACCCAAAAAATTAATATCTTTATTTAAAAAACAAAGAGAAAAACAGAGAAGAAAGAGTTAATACTATGAATAGAGTCATTAAATGTTACGAAGCGACATTCACAATAATTCGTAAGGTGGAAGACGAGTTAGATACGGCCACAAGCTTCTTCTTCAAACACAAACACTGTCCTCGTCCACCACAAAGCTCTCTCCTTTTTCTTCAAGAATCAAAAATTCTCCAACTCACTTCCTTCCAAAAACAAAACCAAACTCTTTTCTTTTTCTTAATCATCGGAGATCGTGAACAAAGACGAAGTGCCCTTTTCTTGATTTTCCCCTATTTATAACCATGCAATCTCACGACCAAGAAAAGCCCTTCATTATCCATGGCGGATTCCGGCGATTTCAACGGTGGTCAACCTCCTCATAGTCCAATCAGAACCACTTCTTCCGGTAGTAGTAGCAGCAACCACCGTA